TCTCAAAAAAAAAAAAAAAAATAGAAAACCTAGCTGGCACTGTGGCAGGTGCCTGAAGTCCCAGCTACTCAGGAGACCGAAGAAGAATTGCTGGAGCCCAGGAACTTGAGGTTGCTGTGAGCTATGATGCCATTGTACTCTAGCTAGGGTGACAGAACGAGACTCTGTCTCCAAAAAAAAAAAAGATGGAACAGGTTTGGATTATGGAAAGGAGTAGAAGAGATAGGGGGAGGGTTGATAAGTGGCAGAATAATGCCCATTGGTGGTAGAAGGGTCTTTCAGCCTGGAATCAGACGGGAGAGGTTTTCTGGGTGAGAAGGGATGAGTTATATAGAGAGAAAGGAAATGAAATTAAATGGGAGGAGGAAGGAAGGAGCCCTCCTGGGACCCTATGAGGACCACAGCCCAGGTGCCCAGCTGAGGCTGGGGCTGTTTGTGTAATGCCACCCATCTGAGCCATTCTGGAGTCTCTTTCCCTTAAACACAACCTTACCTCCTGCCACTCCACTCCTCTCCTGCACTTAGATATCTTCCGCCCAGTGTGACCCTCTGGTTAGAGAAATGATAGGTGCCCCACAACAACACAGGGTTTCCTGGGACCGGCTTAATATGGTCTGTCCTCAGTGAGACTTACTCCTCATAGTGGCCTCTGAAATGACAGTGACACCTCATGTTTGGAGGCACCTGGAATCAGGCTTGACATGGAAGAAGTTGCTGGGATTAGACTAGACTCTGGCCTTTCCTCTAGCCGCTAGAGGAAAGGCAGATAGCGAGTATATTTTTAAACCCAAGTGGGCACTACAGCTGCCAGCAAGAAGCAGACGGCTCTTGGAGAAAATGGAGATTGGCAGCCGGTCAGACACTTGTCAAGAAGCCTGGAGGCTGCCAAATGGGCAGGGGTTCAAGTGGCTAAAGGCCAGGACTGAGCGTGAGGGTCGGCAGGGGGTGACGGGGACAGCAGTTAACTCTTTGGAGCCCGATGCCAGTGGGCCTGGAGGACAGCACAGCAGATGGGCAGGTCTTGACCAGGCTGGGCTGACCCCTGGAGTGACAGAAGCTAGTGAGGATGTAACTGTCCTGTCGCCTCACCCCAGGTAGGTCAGGCTCAGTCTCCATCTGTGGTCCAAAGGACCACGTGAGTAGCTTTGTGCAAGAGGAAAGGGCAGACAGGACTCTGTTAGAGGCCCTTGCAGCTCTCCAGCCCCTGAAATCCCCTTGCATTCGGGGGTTTTGTCAGCGTTTGGAGAGTGGCTGCCAGGACATGTTTCAGGAGCTATCAGCAGGGTTTTAACAGTTCAAGAGGACACAGCAGCAATAGTTTGAGTCATGGTACTCACTGATCAGTGTTTATCTCTCTCCTTTACTCTCAACACCAGAAGGGCTGAGGAACCCAGGCCAGCAAGCATGGAGTTTCTGTTGTGGCTGGAGACTTTCCGGAGTCTTCCTCAGCGCCAAGCCTCCAGGCTGGGGCTGCTTCTCTGTGCACTGACATTCTGGAAAAGTTGATAAAAATCATATTTTACCTAGAGCAAGTTTCCAGGGGCCAGAGTACCTTACCGGGCAAGACAAATCTACATCTCTCACTCTAGATTAGGTTAAAATTCCCCAATCCTGTCAATATCATCCTGACTCCTCTCTTGCCTTATAGAAAAGACTGTAGACACAGGTTCCCTCCTGCCTTCAACAAGGCGGTCCCCTGACTCTGCTCCATGTCCTTCTGGTTATAGTTGTCTGTTCTGTTCTCTCTTCTGTCCTTGATGTGTTTCAAAGCTTCCTGGGTTTATTTATTTATTTATTTAGAGACAGAGTCTCAATTTATCACCCTTAGTAGAGTGCCATTGCGTCACACAGGTCACAGCAACCTCCAACTCCTGGGCTTAGGCGATTCTTTTGCCTCAGCCTCCCAAGTAGCTGGGACTACAGGCACCCGCCACAA